GCTTAGGGTATCTAGGGTTTAGGGTGGTATAGGGCTTAATAGGATTTAGGGCTCCTCCTAAGCTTACTGGTTCTTAGTGAGGAAAAAGGGAATATAGTCCCTACATAATGCCTATGATAAACAAATAAATATACATACACATATATATACATATATGTATATTCCCTGATTCCCAACTCAGCCCCAGCCCCAGTAAGCCCAAGCTGGCGTACAAGTACTTTTGGATTTATATGGCCCATTGTTTGAACATTTAAAGTCCCCGAATTCAACACCAAGCATATGCACTCACCAATTTTGTTCAGGAAGCCTAAATCACAACCACATCCATGATGAAGCCCTGTACTATGTATGCTTCATACAGGTCTAGTCCTACAAGTACCCTGGATCTCTGATTGAGCCTTCAACCTTTCCTTAACACGGGCTGTATATCTCTTATCTACTTATTCATTTATTAATTAGCAACTTAGGACTGCAGAGTCTGAAAACTTTCTGGATCTTTGGAACCTGTTGTGATGGTGCTCAATAAATTCAGGCCTGCAATACCTTCGTCTATTCATTTGGACCCTTACGGTGTAGGCTCTAAGGTTTAGGATTGCTCTCTGGCATTTGAGTGGACATGGGCAGGACAACACTGGGTCAAACATGAAGGCCACAACACAACATCCCTAAACCCTAAACCAAAAACACCTGTGAGCATGAATCACTGGAGCCTAATTCCTAAACCCAAAAGCTCTGATGTACATCTGTTAGTCCCCCACCCCATAATGATATCCCAAACCTTTTGGGCTTGCCCATGGCTAGCTAGGAATCAAGTAGGGTTTTGGGTTTAAGTAGGAACGTAGGAATGGAGGAATGGATCCTTATAGTAGTCCCAATACACCCCGCTGTAGTAGTTTTTTCCATTCCTTCATTCCTAGCTTATAACCAAAGGTAAGTAGGCCCGAACCCCCGGAAAGCTCATACTAGTCATGGGGTCCTAGGGGTAGAAGCTCAGGCCCCCAAACTGAAGCTGTTGACCCCAAGCCGCGTAGGCCCTGACCACCTGAATTATTAGGGAATCCTTAGACCATAAAACCTAAACAGTTTGGGGCTTAGGGGTTTAGGGTTTAGGGTTAGGTCCTGAACCGTGGATCCTAAACCCTTAACACTCAACCCTGGGCCCCTAAGTATGTGCGCATGAGGGACCCCAGGCATCGCGACGCGACACGACGAATTCAACTTTAGAAGCTGCGAAGCTTCTCTAAACTCTAAGGTGCGTAGGGTTTCGGGTTTAGGGAGCCATCTCTGAACTCTAAATCCCAAATCCTGTAAGCCCCAGCCCTCATAGGCTTGGTTTAGGGTTTAGGGTTAATCCTAACCTCAAACTCGAACATCAAAAAATCACGCCCTGCCTGGCCCTCAGAATTTTCAACAATTGGCAAACAGGGTCTCCTAGTTGAAAATACCTCCACAAACGGACCCCTAAAACCTTAAACCCTAAACCCGGATCCCTTAACCCTACACCCACATCCCAAAGCCCTAAACTCTGCAACCCTAAACCCTAAACCAAAAATCCCAAAGCCCTAAACCCTGCAACCCTTCCCCTGCATCCCAAACTCTGAAACCCAGGGAGCCCAATGCCCCTTAATTGGGGTTTAGGGGTTTAGGGTTTAAGGTTTAGGGAATACTTGCCAATATTATGGTTCCATATTGCTTAGGGTTTTGGCGTTTTGGGCTTAGGGTTTAGAGTTCCTCAACTCATATATAAGGGATCTCAGTACCATTTAGGGTATATTCCTTACTAAAGGGGTATTGGGCTCTCTGGGAACAAGACGACTAAACCCTAAACCCTAAACCTTAAACCCTAAACCCTAAACCGTGTGGCTGGCTCACAGCAGCTTAAGCCTCTTTGCGTCCTTCAGATGCGCAGAAACTGAGGTCTGGAAGGTCTGGGGAGGGGGGGATTGGGTTTAGGGTTTAGGGTTTAGGGTGAGGAGGGGTGGATTTGATGGGGGGAGGGGGGGCGGGGGGCAGGTTGTTGGTTGTGTTCTTCTTTCGGGCCTGCCTTAGAGTTCAGGGCTTTTTTTTTTGGTGAGGAAAATTCAAAGATTAGGGGTTTGAGGGCTTGTGTGTTAAGGGGCTTGAGGTCGAGGGAGTTTAGGGGCTGGAGTTTAGGGTTTGGAGTTTATAGGGCTTGGAAGTCTTTAGTGTACACACACTGGGAGGGACTTATACAGGAACATGTATTCTAACGGGAACGCATGTGCAGGGACTCATATTACATTGAACTTGAGGCAATCTCGTGTTAGGTCCTGGTCATGGGACTGAACCCTACACCCTAAGACCCTAAACCATAAACCCTGTTAGGTCCTGATCATGGGACTACCTTTAGCAGATTGTGTTTGAAGGCTTACCTGGACCCTGGATGTCCTTCCTTTTTTGGGCTCTGTCCTACATATTTATAGGGTATATCCCCAAAAAAAGGTAGGACATCCAGGGTCCCGGCAAGGGCTGGGGACTTGGGGCTTACCCTAAGGGTTTTGGTTTTAGGGTCAGGTACCTATGATAATCACATACTTACTGAAAACCTGTACTACGAATACTACTATATTACCAAAGCCCATAGTACCAAATTATTTGGTACATGGACCCTTAGGGTCAGGCCTTGGGATTTGTGATTCGAAGTTTGGGCGTGACGTGGAGGTCAAGGGTAGACATAATCCATTGATCGCTGGTACTGGTGGCCCGCAACCCTAAACCCTAAGCCCTACGTTTAGGGGACGTAGGGGGCTGGCAGCTAGTTTATAAGATCAGGTATAATTTGGCCATAATTGCCCTGAAACTCCAAGCAAAGTTTAGGGGTTTAGGGTTTAGGGTATAGGGTGTGGGAGATTTTGAGCAGGGAGCCAGAAAAGACACCCCCAAACCGTTTAGGGTTTATAGTCCCCCTTAAGTAGATAGAATATGGGGTATATGGGGATCTTATTATAAAATACCCAAAGCCATATTCTATCTACTTTAGGGGGAGTATAGAGTTTATTAGATTTATGGTAGCTCTGGCGGACCCTAACTCCTGTATTAAAAGCTCGAAACCTCATGGGCTCCCCCGCCACCCCCAAAAACTACCCCGCCCTCCCCCCCTGGTTCCCGCTTACTTGAGATTACCTGAGAATAGTTAGAATTACTTAGATGTAGTTCGAGGAGAGGGGAAGTAAGGGAACCCATGGAAACCCTGGAGTTCGTAGCCCAAACGCCCTGAGCTCTTAAGCCTAGAAACATACACTCACCAGAGGATTTGGGAAACCCTAAACCCTAGCACCCGAGACCCTAAAACCATCATACGACATTCGGCGTCCTTGTTACAAGGATCAGGATTATGAGAATATAAACCTTGAAGCACTGAGGCACTCAGTCCCTAAATGAGGTATAGTCTAAACTCCTTTTATGCCCCTTAACAACCCGTATAGCAGTCCCCTAACCCCTATATAACCCATTTTGGGAGTTTAGATGCCAAACCCTAAGCCCTAGATTATATACTCCCCTACACAACCGTTTGTGAAGTTTAGATCTAGATCCTAAGCCCTGAGCCCGAAAGTCTAATCCCCTAAATAGACCCCTTTTAAGGAGCTTAGATCCTAAACCCTAAGCCCTGGTCCTTAAACACTACATCATATATTCCCTTATATAACCCCCGATATAACCCCCTTGAGTTAAGATCCTGAACCTAAGCCCTAAACCCTACATTATAGAATCCCCTATATAATCCCCTATAAAGGGTTTAGATTATGGCTCAAATCCTCAAACCTGAGGCGTCCTCGGGTGGCGTGGGCAACTTCCGCGCGCCCGGCACAGCATTGAGCCTCCGCTTCAGAAAGGGTTCTAGGGCCTTACTAAATAGAATAGGGTTTAGGGTTTGGGCTTTTGGGTTTACACTCAGGGTTCAGGGTTTAGGGTCCCTAAGGCTCAAAGGCCATTCCATAAAAGGCTTTTGGGCTATTTTGAGCCTTGGGAATTCGAATGGGCTTCATTAATCAATGAGAGTAACCCTAAACTTTAGGGCTCAGGGCTTTGGGAAGTTAGTGGTCCAATTAATTCGACATAATGGAGAATCAAATGCACAAAGCCTGGAAATTGATCTGGAAGCTGGGTTTGCTATACGCGGTGTTATAGGCGTTCAGGGTTTAGGACATATCTAGCGAGGTCAGAGGCAACCAGACTGTTGTTATGTAAGAACTGTAAGACAACAATACTGGTAGTTGGGAATTATTTGGGCTTCTACCTAGGTTCCAGTTTAGGGCTAAGGGCTTGTGGAAGAAAAAGGAATCAAGGTAACTTCAAGACCCTAAACCCTAAACCTATAAATCCTATAAACCCTACACCCTAAACCCTAAACACTATAGTGTTTGGGGCTTATAAACCCTCAACCCTAAACCCCAAACCCTAAAGCCTAAACACTAAGGCTCGGCTTTGGGTCTGAGAGATGAGCAGCTAAAGGGGGATCGCAGCAGGGACTATGGACAATGTATATGTGTAGGTTTAGGGTTTAGGGTTTGGGGTTTTGGGTTTTGGGTTTTGGGGTTTAGGGTTCAGGGCTTCGGG